AAACCATTTCAGGTGACTACCTCTTGAAGCTCATGGAGAGAATGCCAAGAGTGTGCAAAGCAGTAATCAGAGCAAAGGGTGGCTATTTTGAAGAAACTAGAATATAAAACATGTTTTCAGTTATTTCACCTTTTTTTGTTAAGTACATAACTCCACATGTGTTCATTCATAGTTTTGATGCCTTCAGTGAGAATCTACAATGTAAATAGTCATGAAAATAAAGAAAACGCAATGAATGAGAAGGTGTGTCCAAACTTTTGGCGTGTACTGTATACATATGGATTTATGAAGTCTTTTCGTGTGCAACAACAATACTTTCTGCAGAGCCCAATCAATACATCGGTCTGGCCAATATCATCGGCTGAGTTTGGCCGATCACATGGCTCGGCATACATATTAGCCTGTAGGTCATGAGAAATGTCGCAACAGAAATCCCAGATATGATGCCATTTGTAGTTTGTCCACCAATTCCTAATTATCTTAAATATCAATGATGGTATTTGCCTCAAATCTTATATCAGTTTGACTCTAAATTTGCAAGCACACTAGAGGTTTATGTGATCGTGATCTCAAACATCAACATTATATTTTGGTGTCAGTCCCTGAGAATCAAAAGGAGAGAGCTTCTTTATTATGCAGCTATTTTATACGCAGCCACTAATCACAGAGGGGGAAATGTATCAAAGTGGCAGAAACATCAATGTCTACACCATGAGTAGTATCAGTAGAACCAAATTAAATGTAGTCAAAGTGTGTCAAAGTGTTCCTTTAGACACATTCATCTCGCTTTTTGTACCTGGTACTAATAACTACCTGTTCTCCAAGTCAGGATTAGAATATATGCACTTCATATAATGCGATCAAAATTAATATATATTTTTAAATGATTGAAGAACTACTCATTACTGGAAGTGTATGTCATCCAAGAGAGATAATAAAAACTAATGGAATGGTCAAAGTTGTCATATTGAAATTTTTAGATGTGCTGATGAATTTGTGTCATCAACTCATGCATTGAGCAAAGTTACAAGTAACGTTCCACCTTAAAAGTTGCTAGCAGTCGGCCCATTAAATTAAATTATTTTTTCTCAGTCTACAGCTGCTGTCAGAGGCAGCAAAACATCCTGACATTTTATAGTTATAGTTTACTACTCTGTATTTAGGACTGTTTGATATGAAAGAACAGTGTGTATTAGGACACGTACTGGCCTGTTGCCTCAAACTAAAAGTGTAGTGATTGACTATCGTGTGCTGTGTTTCTCCTCTGATCATAAATGTTTTTTCTCTTAGATTTTCTTTTTTTGCTTCAATTTTTTGAAGCACATTGTCTCAGAGAAGTTCTCTGCTGTTAAGAAACAGAGGTGGGTTCCTCCATTTCTTTCATGTTATTATGCTCCTTCATGTTATTTCTTTCTTTCTTTCTTTCTTTCTTTCTTTCTTTCGTTCTTTCTTTCGTTCTTTATTTCTTTTTCATATTCAAGAATGTATTTATTATAAAGCTATAGCTGCTAAATGTTTGTAGTAACACTCGCACAGTAAATAAGTAACTCAGTGAATATCCAGCCCCTGTAGGAAAATATAATTTGTGTGAATCCAATTCTCTGTCTTAGATCTCTGATGTTATTTCATCATTTTTCTGTCTTTCAGAAGGAAGAACTCCCACTTCAAAGACAGTGATTTCACTGTGGAAGATCTCTGCCAGTTAAGTAAGTCAGTGTGTCTCATACATTCCTCCCTCCACACTCCACACAGGCACACAGACTGGGTACCTCTGATAGACCTTTGATAGATGTGCTCATTGTTATTTAGCTCATTATTTTCTAACTAATCTAATAAGGAAGGAAGGGGTGGGAATTACCAGAGGACCCACGATGCTATATTATCATGATATTTAGGTCACAATACAATATTGTCACACTTAGGTCACAGTATTGCAATATGCTGAGTATTGCAAGAAATCTCTGGCAATGTATTGCAATCTATTACCTTTTATTCCAACTGCAAATTATTCCCCCCAAAGGAAAACTTTGTCAACATCAGTTTTACCTCATAAGATAAAGTTTTCAGTCTGAGTTTAATCATTTTTATTGCAGCAAAATGTGATGCAAAGCAAACAGACTGACCAACATAGTCAGAAATGCTGCATACTGAACTGTGGGCAGATTTAATGCCCTCTGCAAGGCCAGATTAAGCACATGAGCGAAACCCTTCACATGCAGGTATCCTGCTAACTGAATGGCAACACTTATGTTACAAGCGTTGTCTGCTACAGTGACAAGGTTTTTATGGGCAATCTTCCATCTTTGTGCTGCATTTTGCAGGAGGTCTGCAATGTTTGTTCAGATGTGACTTTTGTGTACAGCTCTAGTTTGGAGAACGTGAGACAGCAGTCACCAGTCCTCTGTGAGATAATGTTCCTTTATAGTCACATATGAATCCTCTGACCTTGAAGTCCAGGCGTCACAAGTTAATGCCACACTTCCTGCTGGACTCAAAGATTCCTCAGCGTTATGCTTCACTCCATTGCAGAGCTGTGTTGGTACAAAACGTCAGGACGGAGTCACATACCTGAGTTCCAGTGTTTTTAGCATGTTCAAATAAACACAAGAAGTTTGTGCTCTAGAGAAAGGATCAACACTCAGTGAAAAACCTAAGCCCTATGATAAGCTATTATGGCAAGGCTTAACTATACAAACCAATGAGCAGTGATAACTAGCATGTCTTTGGGGTCATCGGGTGGGAACCTCCTTTCACCAGTGTTTCGTCTAGTTGGTCCCACGACACCTCCAGGATGTTAGACAGTGATCTCTGGCATCCCAGAGACACTCCCCTAATGCCAGGTCTCACTGCTCTCCTCCCTGCACCAACCCAATAACAAAAGCCTTCATTTTCAACAACGCTGTATGGACGCAGATCTTTGCACATGAAGTAGATGATGGTCTGTGTTATTTTCTTTGCTCTCTCAGAGTTGGCTGGTACTTTGTCAAGCTAAGTGTGTCCAGTTTTGGTTGATTTTTCAGCAGAGTGGGTTTCGTGGCTGTCAGTGGCTAACGCTATCTCTGGATGGTGGCCTGTGAGGTGAGTTAGTAGTATTCCCAGAGTATTTTTAATCTCAAGTCAAAAAATCAAGTCACGTTGAGACCTTGCTATAAATCAAGCAAGTCACAAGTCAAGTCATACTCACAAACTCATGAAGATAATAAACTGCAACCAGTGGTGGAATGTTGAGGTTTGAACTGTTGGTTAGACAAAACAAACTGTGATTGTCACTTTGGACTCGGGTAAGTGTGACGCTATCTCTCACTATTTCCAGAATTTCCACAAACTAAACGATCAATCGATTAATGGAGAAAATAATCAGCAGATAAGCCCATAATGAATATCATCATTAGTTAAAGGGATAGTGCACCCAAAAATGAAAATTCAGCCATTATCTACTCACCCATATGCCGATGGAGGCTGAAGTTTTAGAGTCCTCACATCCCTTGCGGAGATCGGCGGGGGGAGTGGCTAGCACACCTAATGGCAGATGGCGCCCCAGACTAACGTCCAAGAACACAAAATTGAAACCACAAAATATCTCCATACTGCTCATCCATAGTGATCCAAGTGTGCTGCAGCCCCGACATAAAAAGTTGTTCGGAAAAACGTCATATGAACTCTGTTTTTAGCCTCACTGTAGCCTGCAGCTCTGACTGCTTCTCTGTGCTCCGCGCTCACGTGTGCGCGCTCAGGGTGATCGGTGATGCACGGTCTCTGAAGAGCAGCAGTCTCGTCAGTACTGATGTCCAGATTCTCAAGTGCAGGCATTGCCAATTCCCAGTCTGAGCAGCAAAGACTTTCCTCATCCGTTGGCATTGCTTTGCATTTGAAACAACTACACCACTAGGTTTCCAGTGCTCGACTCTGGTATTCTGCGGCTGGCTGAGGGTTAGGCTCATGAGCTGCGGCGGCTGCTTCGTCCAGTAGCCTGAGTTCCGTCCGTATACTCGGGCTCAAACAAATAGGGCTCAACAAAGAAATGCTGTTCCGCCTCAGTTTCAAAGTCTTCAGACATGTTGGGCTGTCCTTTGCTAAAAGACCGTAGTGCAAATTATCTTTTAGCTACTTTGGTTATTGTTGTCTCTCCCTGCGGTGCACACGTCACGTGATGTAAACACGGGTGTGCAAAGCTCATGCTTTCGCTGGTCTCGCGCAGGCTCGCACATGTGAACGCTGAGCACAGAGAAGCAGTCAGAGCTTCAGGCTACAGTGAGGCTAAAAACAGAGTTCATGTGACGTTTTTCCAAACAACTTTTTATGTCAGGGCTGCAGCACACTTGGATCACTATGGATGAGCATGTTGGAGATATTTTGTGGGTTCAATTTTGTGTACTTGGACGTTAGTCTGGGGCGCCGTCTACCATTAGGTGCGCTATCCGCTCCGCCCGCCGATCTCCGCAAGGGATGTGAGGACTCTAAAACTTCACCAGGGCCTTCCTCAGCATGAGGGTGAGTAGATAATGGCTGACTTTTCATTTTTGGGTGCACTATCCTTTTAATAGTTCAAAATCAGCTCCACTTCAATCAACTACAACAGTAAAATCCTGCTTTTACATTAATGCACGAGTTAGAATCATCTAATAAGATGACATATTGTAGTAGACTACAACAGTCACAGGGAACATTTTGTTGTACTTTTACTTGTTATACTTTAAATACATTTTCCTGATTATACTTACATACTTTTACTTAAATAATATTGTAAATGGGGTGTCGGTGGCTTAGTGGCAGAGCAGGCGCCCATGTACAAGGTTGTTCCCGCAGCGGCCCGGGTTCGAATCCAGCCTGTGGCCCTTTGCTGCATGTCATCCCCCCTCTCTCTCTCCCCCTTCATGCTTACCTGTCCTGTCCAATAAAGGCAAAATGGCCAAAAAGATATCTTAAAAAAATAAAAATTTTAAATGCAGGAATTTGACTTGTAACAGAGTATTTTTACAGGGTGGTATTAGTTACTTTTACCAGAGTAAAGGATTTAAATACTTCTTCTCCTGCTCTAAGCCCTCTGGTCACGGTGAAAGTCTCCACTCACATAGCATACCTGCTGCTCTGAGAGAGCAGGTGAGATAATAACACACTGTAATAGTCCCCAAACACGAGCTGATCACCAATGGGAGGCAAAAAGAAAACAAAAGTCACAGGGGAAACTATCTCATGGCGCATGGATGCTCACGGCAATTGCATACACACACACTCACAGATAGTGAACTTATGTTGGAACAGCAGGCAGGAGCAGTCGTTAAGCATTGTTGCAGTATCAAAACCTCATACAAATAAGAGAGCCGGGGCATATGAAGCTGGCAGTGCATGTCTCGGCTCTCACAGTGGTGACTGTGTGTTCGTATAACGGCCTGGTGCTGACAGTGTGCCGCTGGTTGCAAAGCACTTTCAGTACTAAATGAGTTATTGAAAACCTAACTACATGTATCAAGCAGATAGAACTGAATAAAAATTCATACCGCCATTCCTCCGAGGAGAGCTGTGGTAGAGTGCGTCCGTACGAATATCAGCCAATGGGTCGTCTTCCACTGCAACATATGCATCATCATATTTTAAAAGCAAAACGTAACTACTCAATGTCTAGAAAAATACAAATATTAAATAAAAATGTAAAGTCCTTTCAAGTCATCTGTTTCAAGTCAAAGTCAGGTCTCAAGTCCTGAATACCAAGTCAAAGTCAAGTCTCAAGTCAAGTCTTTCATCAGTCTTATTCAATCAAGTCTCAAGTCCTCAAATTTGCGACTTGAGTTGGACTTGGGTTAAGTCATGTAACTCAAGTCCCCCGTGTCTGGGCACTGTACTGGTGTGTTTGATTGGAGTAGTGTGACTACTTTTTTACTGTCAGCTACACGTTGGTGTTCCTGTACAGAAAGTTACATTTCACCTGGGATTTCTTGTTGTTAAAGGTAACATGCTTCAGTTTGGTGTGTCATGGAACTGGGTATTGGTGGTAATATTCTAAGGGTGATCAGGATCAGGAGATGGATTGGTTCGTTTTCTTTCACACCGGCACAAACAAGCCGTTGAAAAGCGAGGCCCACCTTTTTATCTTGGTACGGTTGTTTTGTTTTTTGCACCAGGGGTCGTTTGACTGCTTTCACATCAGCCCAAATGAACCATACTAACTAACTGTGTAAATGGACATGAGATTGTTTTAACCGAACCAAACAGATTCGGTATGAAAGCACTCCAACAGTGACTATAGAAACCCACATTTTCCTTTTGAGCTTTTAACATTTAATAAAAAAGTTACAAACGTGTGCAGGGAAAGTCTTAAATGTGGCATTATTTTTTTATCTGAGTCCTGCTTGTTATATCATCTTTCCTCCTTCTTTTTTTGGGGGGGGTGGCGTACTTGTGGCAGCTTTGGGAGCTTCTGCCACTTGCCTCTGGTCTGATGCAATGAGGAATAACAAAGGTTTGGAGTGCTGCGAGCACAGACAGTGTCGGGCCAGAGACAAAGCAGTAAGACTCTGGGTGATAAGACAGTGCTTTCATCTCTTTAGAGAACCGCAAGGCTTGATTCCAAAACATCTTGCGTCACAAATCTTTATGTCTGCAGCCTTTTAACCTTCAGTAGAGTCTGCCATGTACATTAGTATACTGCTTTATGTGGTAGTTTATCCTTTTCACAGCCATAGATGCCTTATAATTATAATTTCTGTTAGTACATTTATAGACACTTCTGGCACAACTAGAGGAGGAAAAGAAGAGAAAAGCAGCTGAAAACAGTTGTTCAGAATATGTCTCTGAAGGACCATAATACTGTGCAAGCTATCCTAAGTGTGTGTGGGACACTGAAGTATTGATTTTTTCTTTTTTATTTATTTTTTTTTTTTTACAGCAGACTAATGAGAATTGCTCAGTTACATTAAGTGTACCTGTAAGCTTTTCCAGCATGTACAATACCTTGTTTCGGTAGAATGCAGCTATCATTAATGTTAATGTTATAACAGAGAGCCAAGGTCATGATATCATGACCCGGCTAGTCTCTGTTCCACTAGCTTCTGTAATTTAATGCAATCTCATATTCAGCGTTTCTTTCCACAGTCTGAGACAAATCTTCTCCACTACAGCTGTTGCTGTAAAGAGCTGAACCCTTTGGGATTTTAACACTCACTCTGCGAGCAGAGAAAAACTATAGCACATATGAAAGAAATACAAGTGCTGCAGCATGGGTATTTACGTCATCATAACTTGGTTTCATGTTTCTTCTATATCTATAAAATTTACCAGCGCTCCCTTCAAGTCAGTGTTCTTTCCTCTCTGTCCTGCTTTCATTACAGACATGTCTGAATAAACTGCTACGCCCTGACTCTCGTCTGTTGAGTTGTGATGTATTACCTGCAAAGGTCTAGGCAGGGGCGTAGCTTCAAATTCTTGGCCCTATGAAAACACAATCAGTTCGCTTACATGACATTAGAGAAAATCAATGTGTTGTGTAAGCCTGACTAAAATCATACTTTTAAAATACATGTAAACATGTTAGTCCAACTGCAGGACATACTGAATCTAATTTCTTAAAGTCGGTTTAACGCACCCAGATAATGTGATTAGCAATCGATTTACTCCTGCATGTATACAGTCAGGTGGACCCAAACTGGTTTCGCCTGAGCTTTGACCTGGAAGTCGAATAGCATTAAATACGTAACAGGAGAAGAAGCTGGTAACAACATGGTAAAATCTACATCCAGAGCAGTGCATTTTTGGACAGATTAAATGTACAGTGCTGTAACGTTGTCTACCATGGTACCAATTTACTATTAGCTAACTGTAGCTAACTTGGTTGTCGATTGTTTGGTCTGTGACCTAATAGGTCAGCTGGAAAAAGGTCCAATACTAACAAGCTGAAAGGGGGTATCACGACCTATCGTAGTGGAGTTGAACATACTTCAGTCAATAAATTGATTCCCCTCCTGTGCTTATACACTGGGACAAGGACACTAGTCAGATGAAATGGCCAAGTCGAGCTAAAGCTGTAGGTCGACCACCCTGTGTATGTAAACGTACTAAGTCTCTGAGTCCCGCCCTCCCTCTCTTGATTCATGTCTTTCTTATGCAGTGTTTGATTTTTTTTTAAATTATATTATATTTACAAAGTCAGTTCACTTTCTTTCCCTTTTCTCTTTTTTTTTGGAAACTACTCAGCTAATAGTTCTATTTCCATGAATGGTGCTAAATACAGACAGAGTTAACTGTGTTAACCTTTGGGGGAACCGGAGGGTGGGCGCTTCACTTCAGTGATGATGCCATCAGCATTATCAGCAATAACCGCTGTAGGAGCACAATGCAGAGAGGTGGCAATTAATTAGCCAGAAGGATACACACATAGGGACTCACATGTACTAAAATGCATTTGCGGCTTGACCATCTACGACAGCAAAGAACAGAGAAGCTCAGATCACAACAGGATGCCGTTTGCTACTATATCAGTCCCTTCAGGATTTCGTTTTTTTGTGATTGTTGCAGCCTGAAATGCCTGATTTCATGGCAGCGTTTCTAAAGAAAGAAAGAAAGAAAAGAAATTGTGATGCATGTCGCTTTTTTTTAATTTTTTTTTTTTCGTTTGGCAATGTAATTGCGGGGGCAAGTGAAGATTGTAATCTCGGATTCAGAGGTTATTATCAGGAGCAGTCAGTGTTTCCCACAAAATCAGAAACTATTTGTAACAGTAGGGGGGGTTGGAAGCAGTGGAGGGTGGTGGTCAGCTGTTTCTGCAGTTTGAAGCAGCACAGTAGGACCACCTCCATGAGCTGCTCTCCTCTTGCTCTCTCTGCCCGGTTAGCAGGAGCTAACACAACACATCGTGATCTCATCCCTCTGCTACTTATTGTATTTTGTTGCTTGGGCAGAAGCCCTGCAGCAGCGGTTAACTTCCAACACCAAGCTGTTAACACTGACACCGTAATGGCTCAACCCTGTTGTTAAACTGGTTAATAACGTTGGGTAACATTGCCTGTGTGATGCTAACAGTTAGCCCTGTCACTGTGTGCGTCACCCTGTCCCAGTTGCTGGTCCCTCAGCAGTAGTGTCATGATAAACAGAGGGAGAGAAGGGCTGAGCGAATCAATAAGCTGCACACAGCTCTATAATTAAATGAGATTTTACCTGTTTTAAATGGTAAAATTTGCAGTGAAGTTGTGGTGATTGGATAAAATTGCAAGGTTGCACAGAATTCACAGGTATTGGCTGAATTTGTGTTAATTGTTGCCATTGCAACATCCTGGAGGGACTGATATATCAGTGCTCTGAATGTTGTACACAGAATTTCAAATAAACCATATTACATATTTAAAAAAAAAAAAAGAAAGAAAAACTACAGTTCTTATCTAAACTATGAAGCGAGCCATATGACATACTGTTGAGTAAAATTATGTTCTGACGCTGGAGCTTTTAGCATTGTTGCAAATGTCAGTGGGATTTTGATCGAGGCTTTCTTACTTCTGTGAAAGAACCTGGAAGTTCACACTTCAACTCTCTGTACACCGACCTGAGGTTTGCTTGCTGTGATATTTCAAAATGTCTGCGATGTAAAAGGTCTACTGAGTTAGGAGCTGAATGAACAGCCCTGCTGTGTGTTTGGTTTCAGAGCCGAGGGATCGCGGCAGTGTGACCAGTCTGAGCAGTGACTTTTCCCTCATCACTGAGGATGTGGGCGGTGCCTCCAGCCTCACCAATGACACCATGGACCTGTTGTCCAGCCAACCCCAGGCCTCCAGCTGGTCAGTATCACACACAGGCTCCCAAAATTCAGGGATTCATTTCCTTTAAAAAATGTTTTAATTGTGTGGTTTGGAAGTTGATGGATACACCTATTTATACAAGTTATTGGTTCAGTTTGTCAAAATTTAAGCTTTTCCATGAACAACACGCAGACATACATGTATGTCTCACTGTGTATCTCACTGTTGTTGTAAGCACTGCTGAAAACAGCACTGCTTACAACAACAAAAAAATACGCTAGGGGCTGCATTGGTGGGGGTGCGATGCTTCTAGTGTTGTTAGTTAGTTAATTTTATTCCCGTGTCATGCACCTAGAAGTGCCCAACCCTCATGGGTTTATAAGACACCAAAAGAGATAGTTGCAGCATTCACAGATAATTCATAACAATTCAGTTCATTTCAAAATAACAAAAAAGAAACAAACATACTATAACAGCTCATTCTTGAACAAAATATTCTGTCTTCTCTCCCAGGCCTTGCAAACAAAATCTGCAACAAAAAAGTTCATGATGCCAAATTATGACTAAGATGCAGTACCTCCCTAAATGTCTCAATACAGATACTAAAATAATACCATGACCAAAACCTAAAACATCAGGAAATAGTCTGACTAAACAGAAAACTAGAAAATGTGCTTTCAGTAGAGGGCAAACTTCCACCAAGGATGTGCATTGAAGCATTTAATCTCTTTAAAGCTACTCTTACCTTTTTTGCATTTCACACAGCACTTGTAAAAAAATTGAACATCCTCAACTCCTGCCTCCCTCCAAAGTCCCATCCCCCTCCTCCTGCAACTCCACCTCCCTCCAAAGGCCTACTCCCCCCTCCTCCATTACTGGTGTGTCTTATATAGATCTTACTGCTAGTAAGACGGTAGGAAAGACAGGATGCTGCGCAAAATTACGCAGCGACACGACATGACACGCCTCTTTGAGGCGGTTCTACCAGTAGCGGTCTCGTACGAACTACGAGTTTCGAAAGACTGATGAAAGCAAAGATGGCTGCGCTCTATATTTACCATAAGTGTCTCTGCTCTTTCCTATTATTTTTACTGTTTAGCAAATTTGAGTCCTCATTTTAATTATTTGTACACATTAAAATGCCTTATGGGAATGCTTTATGATGTGTTGTTGTGCATGGAATGTCGTGTATGTGTTGTTTATCGGTTGGTGTTGGTGAAAGTAGCTAGCAGTGTTGCTAATAATAAAGGCTCCACTACTGCAATAGTGAGGACTGCTTTCTTGGAGGCATCCATCTTTGTTTACGTTTAGGTCGTAAATGGTACAAACACAAACGGGGCCGCATATCGCCAATTTAAACAGGAAGTTACAACATCATCTTGAGTCTCACCGCTCATAGCAACGTAAATGGATCACAGCATACGTCCTCATTACGTCTATGATAGACGTAGCCGTTGGCAAGGTAATGTTAGATACACAGAAGAGGAGAGTGAGTGTAATGTTACAACCAAGTCAAATGCAGCCCTGGACTTTCAAAACTCAACCGGAGTCAGTGATGACTGATGAGTTTTAGAATAAGGTTACAGTGCTAACGTTAGATAGTAGCGTTAACATTACTAGTAAGTGGAAACGCACAAGGAAGATAACTTTTATGTTTCAGAGGCTACGCTACAGTAGGCTGTTAGTCATTAGTAACTGGATGCTGTGTTGTCATATATAATGCTATGAACTGAACTGAACTTCTTTATTTGTCATTTTTATGCGCAGCACAAAAACGAAATGACATTTCGCATACCCCAAGCAAAAATAATCGTAATTTTATATTTGCAACCAGATTCAGTAACCGCTTGCAACCGATTCAGTTCAATTTGTTGTACATTTTTTCTGTTTCCACTGAAAAATTGTGGAAGGTACCAATGGAACCGTTACAAACTGCTCCTATCGGGGCGCCTGTGGCTTAGTGGTAGAGCAGGTGCCCCATGTACAAGGCTGTTGCGGCAGCGGCCCAGGTTCGACTCCAGCCTGTGGCCCTTTGCTGCATGTCACTCCCTCTCTCTCTCCCCCCTTCACGCTTGTCTGTCCTATCCATTAAAGGCTAAAAAGCCCCAAAACATATCTTTAAAAAAAAAAAAAAAAAAAATACTGCTCCTATCGTTGGTCCCCCCTCTGTTGGGGTACCTAAGACACAGAGCTGGTACTAAAAAGTGGAGCTAGAAACACTGCAGTCTGTTCATTGGTCAATAGCAGACGGTCACTCCTCTCGCAGCAGCTATAGACTGAGAAAAAAAAATTTAACTCTCTGCCGGCAACTTTTAAGGTTGAAAATTTACTTGTAACGTTACTCAATGCATGAGTTAATGACGGGAATCCATCAGCACATCTTAAATTTCAATATGACAACTTTGTCCATTCCATTAGTTTTTATTGTCTCTCTTGGGTGACATCCATTTTTTGTAATGAGTGGATCTTTAAGTGTTTGAAATTATATTTCAGTTTTGATCAGATTATGTTAATTGCATATATTCTAATCCTCACCTGGAGAAAAAAAGTGTTGTGGAGTGTCACTCCCATGGGCTCCAGCAACACTAAACCCCTGCACATGCCTGAGAAGGACTAAATGCACGAACCTGCTATTTTTAAATATCCCATGGAGAGAGACTCTCACTGCAGCCTGTTTTATTTTGTTATTGAAATTGTCGGCTTGCAACCTCGTTCTGTGGACGATAAATGAGGTGCAGACTCCCCTCTGTGTCACCGCTGAAGAGGAAATACACCAAGTGCTGGACGGAGCAGTGAGTGACAACAACCCAGCCCACATTTAAGAGTACTGTTTATGGTGTAAAACACTCAACAGACCTAGGGTCTAGGTACCATGTCTGAAGGGTAACTTTTGGTTGTACCATACCGAAAGTGTTTGGTGGAGACAGGGCTTTATTAAACAGTGTTTAATAAGTACACCTCCTTGGGGGAGGATCTGAGTTATACCAAGCACATTTTCCAGTAATAAAAGTAATAATCGACAAAAATGTACATGCCATGATTACCACTACCAGGACTGAGTGTAAATTGATAGTATATAACTGGTGTTGTGGATCTGTTTACATGTGAACATCTGATTTTTAATTGCAAGATATTGTAAATTTAATATTACCAATGTAAACGTTGTGTTTGTTTATAAAGATGTTTGCCATGATAAAGCCAAATTAGCCAATGGTGATCAATGCCCTTAATTGCCCCTTCACACTTTGAGGGTAAAAAAAAAGTTCACTAGTCACAAAATAAAACATTGCCCTGAATTGTATCTGACTATTTATATTATCTATCACATTCACTAACCCACTGCTCTGTAAACAGCTCGGCATGTCTGTCTGCAAGGTGCTTTGCCAAGTTGGACGTGTTAGCTCCCTTAGTCTGCGTAGGTTTAAAACATCTTTTACAGACCGGCTTTGTAGTGTCTGTGGGCCTGCCCTGACTGTTGGCTGTGTAAATGAAATGATGCCGTATTGCACTTTGTGAGTCTGCCTTGTTGACAAGCCATAGGTCAACAAGAGCACTTGTATTTGTAGCCATGCCTCTTCCACTATGTCTGCAAATAGTGAAAGCGGAGAGCTGCACACACACTGTAAGATTTTTTTCTTTTTCTTTTTTTATCTTGCCTGTTTGTCTGTGTGTCAGTCTGTGCCCCTTCTCTAAATTTTGAGGTTTTTGGATTTCTTTTCTTTTTTTTTAATGCTTCTGCGCTGATGATCACTGTAACTGCAGGCATGGTGTTTTCTTGTTGTTGGCCTGTCTATCTACCCATCCATCCTGTTCTGGTGAATGTGATACCTTAAGAACGCCAGGAAGGATTTTTTTTTTCAAATTTGGCACAACTGTCCACTTGGACTCAGGGGTGAAATGACTAAATTTAGGTGATCAAAGATCAAGGTCATTGTGACCTTGTATGACTCATTCTTGTGAACGCAATATTTCAAGAACGCCTTGAGGGGATTTCTTCAAATTTGGCACAAATGCTGACTTGGACTCGAGGATGAAGTGATTAGATTGTAGTGGTCCAAGGTCAAGGTCACTGTGACCTTGCATTCATCTCATTCTCAGGAATGCAATATCTCAAGAATAGAGAGATGAGCTGTGATGATGTCTGGGAAAGAGTGTTGCCGTCTTGCGGATTTCTTCCTCACTATGGACTCTGAGTTGCATGGCTGTGATTCCCAGCTTGGTCGCTTCCCTGACCTGCTCCTCCATGAGAGCAACTAGTGGAGAAACAACAATAGCCAAGAAAATGTACATTCCAGTTCTTTCAACACATTTACCATCGCAGTTTCAAAATCAGTAGCCATGTTGGTTGTTTATGAAATGCATTCACTCCGCTCCTTGTCCCTCTTCTGATGACGTGATTTCAAATAACCTGCCCCAAAGTAATAAACGGTTGTGACTGGCCCGGTAAGCTTTTACCGATGCCAGAATGCGCCTTAATGATTGCATAGCCAGACTGATCTGCAGAGCGAAATAGAATATGAGCTCGTGAGATCAGGATGGTTTCACCAGGCTAAAAGAAACCAGCTTCAAAAGTAGTAAATCAAGACATGGCAGCAGATTTTTCATTTTAGTGGGACTCCACAAATAAATGAATGTGTTGGAAGCCCTGGCTCTTCTCTTAGGTACCAATACTAATAAAACGGGGTATTGGACCATTTCTAATGACAAGGTATTGCGATACTTTATTAGTGTCAATATATCGTGCAGCACTAGTCACTTCAGATGCTAGTGAGAATGAATGAATGATGAAATATGATCCAGGAAGTCCAACTCTTTAAAGCCTTCATGCATACTTTCTGTAAGTCCACAACTCTGCACCGCGGTGTGAAGTAAAAATGGTGATAACAGCGGCATTTCAGGTCAGAAAAAAAGAAAAATAAACAAAACAGAGAAGTCCACAAGTACGAATTTTAACAGGTAGCAAATAACAAACTCTAGATTATGAAGCAGTCAGAAATTTCTTGTGTGCAGAAAAATCTCACACAACACTCAGATACTGACGACGGTGATGAAACAGACGACCGCAAATGTGTGAGGGGTCAGTGGTTAGGGATGACATTAGAGTGGGCATCGCTTGCTCAGTGTTGAGGTTAACAGTAGAAATACATTTTGGTGATTTATGGTGCAGAATCATCCAGGACTGTGCACTTGCACTTGCTTGTACTTGACTTTCCAAAATAGTGTGTAGCTGGATGACATTGTCTCAAAATAAGCCAGGTTCATTTTTGTATTTGTCAGATCTCTACCCCCACTCCACATCCCCACTCTGCCAGCACAGCGGTCTCATTTTAATTAATGACATGTAAATGAAAAACAATTTTATTATGTAGCACTATAACAGGGCCTTCGGATGAATGTAAGAAAAAAGAAATGGCAATCTTCCCAAATATTTCCATTTCAGTCAATTTTCAGAAAGAACTGTTAATTTATGATTGTGCTTCAAGTCAATCAAAATTAATTTCAATCAGTAAAAAGCTGTTTTTCATATCCCATCATAATTGAAAGCAAACTTTTATCACAAGCTGCTAGTACTGCACACTTTGTGGATGCTGATGTGTTCTTCCTCCCCTCAGGAGAAAAGGCACCACCTCCTCCCCTCAGATGGTTGTTTGGAATAAACAGAACCCTCTAGACGAGCACCTCTCGCATCCACTCAATGAGGCCAGGTCTTCCAGCTCCTCCTCCTCCAACCAATCAGAACACAGCATCACACGCACTGGCAGCAGCCCGTTGGCTGTCCCCGGAAGAAGGTGAGGGAGTGGATACAGCTCCATCAGCCATTCCAAGTTTGCATGCCATCTTATTTTTATACATGCACTTAACTTGAGTAATGTAAATTTTGGATGATCACCAGAGGCACAGTGCTTAAGCTCACACAGCAGAGCCTGTGGCCTCAAACTGCAGCTCATGCATGGGCATTGAGAGAGTATTCCTCTGGTATTCAGCGCTGACACTGAAACAGTGATTTTGCCATTTTCACCTTCCGTGTCTTATCATTTTCCTTACAGTTATTGGCATAAAAGGAAAGCCTTCCATCACTATGAAAACATCAGACTGTAGTGGCTGCAGTACAGTCCAAACATATCCATGCAGGTGTTTCCACTTGAGTTGATTACATCAGAATTGTGTGGCAGGGGACAGCTGCGCGTGATTGACATCTGATTCTGCTGTTAGCTTTGTGGCCCCTGGAAGAAAAGCATGCACCTTCGTGATTCTTTTGAGTCTTAGGATGCGTTCAGTCACATTTTTTATCTGTTTACTTTTAGTATGTACTACAGCTGTCCTTAAAAGAATGTACTTTCGCATGGTGTACGCACACACTCAGAACGCACTACTTTGAGTGCATTCTGAGCTTGCCAGAGATGCAGGTCAACCCAAAGAGCTCTGCTGTTGTTAATTTGCAATGTATGTAGTTTTAACTTTGAAGTTATAACTGCATACAAGGTAGATTCTAATTATTATATTCACCACAGTAAAATTACATTTGCATTTCTTTGTCATTGTTATTTTCATAGTTATGTCCCTTTGTCGTTGGTTAAATTTAGGATTATTTTGTTCTTTAAAACAGTTATTATTCCCATTATTACTATTGAGCTGGTCATTAGGCACTTGGATGCAGTGTCATCCATCATTGTGGCTTCTGACAGATGATTGACAGCTGTCAGAATAATTATTGCCTGCTTATTGTGTTGTATTACGCAGCGAGGAAAACCTGTTAGTACCTGGTTGCTTGGTATTTAACTGACACACAGGACAGTTTTTGACACCTCCTCACTCTCTGTTGTCTGTCTCTCTCAGGTTAGCAGCAGACTACACTCGGTCAGGTTCCTCTCTCTCGACAGAGTACGGGAGTTGGCAGATAGTTTCGGGTTGTGGCAGCATCCATGATCACGCTAACTTCCATCCACCTGTGGCCTCAGCCTCCTCCACCTCATCTGCTGTGGCTGCTGCCTACGACTCCCCCCTGCCCTTCAGTTTTCAGGATGAAGGACCCAGTGGACGAATGTAAGTAACACTGTACAACCCCTCCATTACTTTCCCTCTTTCTGTTGGAACTCAGTTAAAGAAAGGTTAGTGTAGATTACAGGTGCAGTAGTTAATGTTTGGGTTTGACAGTGATTCACCACCTCTGCTAAGGAAACCCTTTGCATCTTTTTCTATTGTTTTTACTAAGCTTGGCAAATAAGCTTGTCATGATTGGTGCAAGGCTCAATGTTACAATGAAATTAGCATCTTCTATTACTGGAGGATGGGTTTGCTTTCCTTAGAGCATCAACCAGCATGTGCTGTATGTAATGTAACCACTTTGTCAACTGTTATAGAGGTGTGTAGAAGAGGAGTTTATGATCACATTTATTTTTAGAGCAGCTACTAAGCCTTTACAGCACCAAGCTATGATGACTTAAGCTACCTGGACAAATGTTTCTTTTGACTTTTAGCTATGTTAGCAGTGTCATGGCAGTAACATTTAGACGAGAGCCCCACCAATTCATTGGTCGGCTGATATCCGATATGTGCCAGTTGAGTACTTTCATTTTTGACGACAGGATATAAAAATAAAAAGATCTGTCATTTCCTAGTTGGGCCTGCAGGGGGGTGTAATGGCAGGCCATTGTATTGTGGTTAGAGTTTGTATAGATGTATTTTAAAGTACATGTTACCATACTCCCTCTTCAGGGAAAATACAGCTTAACTAAAGAAATGTCACCTCACTCATGGTTAAAAACATAAAGCAGTACAAAAAAGACAGTTACCAACATAAGCCACTATGTTCTGAACAGTCATATTATAAACACTAATTAAAAGTCACATTTGCAATCTGGAACATTTAACATAAACTTCAACAAACGATTCAGTAGTAATAATAAATTTTATTTGTAACGCATTTTACATAAAAAACAAATCTCAAAGTGCTACAGAAGGCAGTGCAGATATGCTATGCTAAGAGTTTAAGAGTTTAACAGACAACATGATAAAATACATTAAAAGGCTTTAGTAAAAAGGTAAGTCTAAGTTGCGTTTAAAAGCGTCAGTCAGGTGGTCAGAGAGAGAGCATTCCACAGTCTGGGAGCGGCCGAGCAGAAGGCCTGGTCTCCCATGGTGTGGAGTCTGGTCCTGGGGGGGGTTGAGGAGGTTGGCAGTGCGGCGGGTGCGTGAAGAAGTCAGAGGAGTGAGGAGTTCTTCAGGATAGAGCGGGGCATGTCCATGAATGCTCTGATGTGTGAGGAGGGAAACCTTGTATTGAATTCTGAGTTCAACGGAGTGATTTGAGGATGGGTGTGATATGGTCATGCTTGCGCGCCCTATCAGGATCCTTGCAGCGCTGTTCTGGATGTATTGAACCCTCTGGATGCTTTTACTAGGGATCCCGATGAGGAGTGCATTACAGTAGTCCAGCCTGGAGGAGACAAAGGCGTGGACAAGCTTATCAGCATTTGCCAGGTTGAGTGTTGAGTTGGTGGTTGGTGGTTGGCGTGACCTGGATATGAAGCATCTGTAGCGCCAAATAATACAACGGTAGTTTTTGAAGAGCTAAGATGAAAAAAACAAAAAAAAATCAGCAATTTTTTCAAAAATTAGTGTTAGTGTATTTTGATATTCAGAATTTCGCTTTGACAAGCTCTCTCCTTTTTGACCATACACCTGTTTGCATCCCTGAGCATAACAATGGAATGATATGCCATGCCTGCTGATAACACGGCCGAGGGGGAGCCTATAGAGAGTGAAGAGGGTAGGACCCAGCACGAGCCTTGAGGGACACCACAGGTGACATAGTAAACTTGTGATTTTGCCTCTCTCAATGCAACATACTCAGTTTGCCCAGTGAGGTAGAATGTGAACCACTTGTGGACGGTATCAGTGAGGCCGATGGTGGAATGCAGGCGGTGAAGGAGGATGCTGTGGTCCACAGTGTCAAATGCAACTGTAAGATCCAGAAGTATGAGGAGGGATGGGGAGCCGATGTCCACTGTCATCAGAAGGTCATTTGTGACCCTGACCAGAGCCGTTTCAGAGCTGTGGCCAGCATGGAAACCGGACAGAAATTCACAAGACAGTAGTCCAGCACTAGACAGGCATGATGGGAAATGACGGCAATCCCATTGCTTTAAGACTTTACACTGCAGATGAGGCGGTAGGGCAGAGTGGTCTCTTCACGGTTAGTTGCACACTAGTAGAAATTTATTTCTGGAAGGTTAATAAACAATGACCCCTTTTTTTCCACTTTTCAGTTAAACTTTAATATAACTGGTGTCCCTCATAAATTATAATGTAAATACCACTAAATTGTGAAGGGAATGTCTTTTCATTCTTTGATTTTTGGGTTGCTGGGAAAACAAGATTAAATAGACAATTCCTGACATTGACTGATAGATACATTTCAGATGAGGACATCTCAGAGTAGACACTCAAGTCAATCATTTTTACTGTATAAATTTAGAAATATTCAAAAGTAAAAGTCCCACATTTCTACCTTGACTTCAAATCTTGTAGGTGCATTAAAAAAACATAATTCTGAAATATTAGAGTTTGATACATCTCACACACCCATACCAAAATCCAGCATTTTTACTGTCTTAAAGGTTTTTAAACTGTTAAATATCTGTATTACATGTCTTTTTTCAAAAGTGTGTACATATACTGCGGGGCTATTCAACTAAAATTCAAAGAGGTCCAGTTAGAGAAAATTTCCTAAAGCAAATGTCCAGAACATCATGTCTAGCGATATGATTTAGTGTGATATAAACTGAAGTAGCCTAGTAGTTGTATCAACGTCTGCATGTAATTAACATCTGACTGTCAATTCAAATAGAGAAAGTATGATTCAAAAACATTTTGACAATATTTATTGTCACTTAGCATTGAACTATACAGATATGCATTTAGAAATAAAATGGAGAAAATAAATAAAATAGTTGTTGAAAAAATGAAGTGCTTAACTTTAGAATAACTAGAGTGTCGCAATAGCTTGAATTTTCCTTTTTCCTTGTTAATTGTTTCACATCTTGACTTAACAGTCTCAACCAATTTTACAATAAATAAAAAACAGTTGAACAGTTTTACAGTTTCTCTTTCTTTCCCTCTTTTCCCACTGTTTAGTGAGAGAACTGAGCTTGAGCTTGTCCTGTCAGGATTTAAAATCTGGGCTGGAATGGTGTCAGGGCCACTCTCATATAGTGCAGGTGCTCATTGGTGAGGCTGGGACCATATTTAGTTTTTATTATGTTCATTGTGGAGAAAGCTGCCTCGCAGCTGTATATAGAGCCAAACATGGTTAAGATGTACAGGGCTACTTTCCTTAGACCTGGGAAAGCTTCCTCTGTTTCTCTCCCTGTCCCTTGCTCACTCGCCTCTTCCTCTCCGTCTTCTCTCCCTGTATCGCTTTCTTTCTTTTTCTATATTTCTGTCCTTCTATATTTCTATCGTCCTTCTGCTTGTCACTCGCCTCGCACCGCTCTCATTTGACTGTATATAGAGTCCTGTTTGTGACTAAGGATATACTGTGTATATCTCAAGAAGGTCTTGAGGGAATTTCTTCAAATTTGGCACAACTGTCTACTTGACTAAGAATAAACTGATTAGAATTTTGTGGTAGATGGTCAAAGATCAAGGTCAGTGTGACCTCACAAAATATGATTTTGGGCATAACTCAAGAATACATATGCTTATTATGACAAAATTTCACACAAATGTCTAACAGGATAAAATAATTAAGTGATGGCATTTTATAAGTTTAAAGGCCAACTTCACTGTGACATAATAATGTTCTGCATAAAACACTTTCTGGCCATTATTCGGTGTCAGATCTCAGGAACAGAAAGGGAGAAATTTGGTCCGATACTGAATTGGTGACACCCGTCTTTGGGTGTCCACCTTGAAACTGTTTGATCTTTTGCTAAGCTTGCTCAGTCACAGTATGAGACTGTGTGACAGTAAAGTTAGGAAGGCAACCCATTTTTTGCCTGTTAATTTTGTATTATTACATTCTTTAAATGACATTTTAGCCAATCACAAGACAGACAGTGTCGTGATGATGAAATTCTGATGTTTATCAGCAGCGCAGCAGCTGGGAAATTACTGCCTGGTTAACAAGTATACGAGCCATGATGGAATTACTGTTGACTGAAACGAATGAAACAGAACAATACGTAAATGAGAACTAGTATATCATGATTGCATCCATACTGAGTAACATTCTTTGTTTTGTGTTTTGGGTCATTTAGAAACAGGGTTTGTCCAACAGAAAGCATTGACAGGTGGATTTTTTAACTGGTTAATATTCCACTCAGTACACACACTATTTTGGTCAGTATTCCCGTAAAAACAAAAGTGTGGCAAACATTTGTGTATGTGCTTGTGTAAAACATGAACATGGTTATGTTTCTGTTGGAGAACCTTTGTCGCTGCTCTCTGCCCCCCTCTGAACCAAGCCATAGACGAGGAGGACAATCAAGGGGGATGAATTTTCCACCAGGTTCTCCCTCTGATTCATCATTTTACTCTTTGCTCCCATCAGGGGACACATTTTAATTTCTGTTTGATCTGACTGCTGAATAGTGTGTCCCACCAGCATCACTTGCAGCCAGAAAAGGCAAAATAATATCTATCTATCTATCTTTATTCAGAGTGAATGAAGTAAGCTGGGTAGAAGGGAGAGAAGCAGAGATGATGATGATCAGTATGTGAGCTCTGTGATGGTTAATTTAGAAGTAGGGTTGATCCAAACTGCCTCTGCCTGCGTCATTCTGCTCTTCTCTTCTGATTCCTCGGCAGACTTCCTCTTTTTATGCCTCAGTGCCTGTGATAGCTGTGGCCGGAGGCATTATGTTTTCAGGTTGTCCATCCGTCCGTCCGTATGTCCCATTATTGTGGGCGTGATATCTCAGGAAAATCTTGAGGGAATTTCTTCACATTTGGAACAAATGTTCACTTGGACTCAAGGCTGAACTGATTAGATTTTGGCGGTCAAAGGTCAGTGTGACCTCTTGTCTGTCTCATTCTTGTAAATGCAATATCTCAAAAACGGCTTGAACGAATTTATTCAAATTTGGCACAAATGTCCACTTAAGAATGAACCCATAGGGCTCAGTTCAGACACAACAAGGAGATTGGCTGTTGAAACAGGTGACGCGCCTCACTAAAACCTGCCAGAGGTGATTTGACCAGCTGAGTCACAGGTGACAACATCAGCCGGCTTAACTGGAGCTCAGACCAGCCAGTTCACACCGCTACAACTTTTCTCTGCAACGTTCTAAAACGGTTCACCTTGTTGCAAATCATTAGTCTTAACTGGGCTTTAGAGTTTGGTGGTTGAAGATCAAAGGTCACAAAACATGTTTTTGGCCATGAAAAGATTTCAGATGCTAATTATGACAAAATTTCACACAAATAACTAATAGGATAAAATAATGAAGTGATGACATTTTATATCCAAAAGGTCAAAGGCCACCTTCACTGTGACATCATAATGTACTTCAAAAACACTTCTCTGGCCATTCTTCAACATCATATCTCAGGAACAGGAGGGGAGACATTTGGTCACATCCTGAATTGGTGACACTCATCTTGAAACTGTGCTGATTGTATAGATCTTTGTGCTGTCTGGGGGAAAGCTGTGTGTGAAACATCCATGTTTATAGACACAGATGTAAATTGTAAGTACAACTAGACTGGTGCACAGAGACATACAACCACAGAGTAGTAATTCTAGTTTCTTCTGTTTGTAGTTATTTTTGCAGCACTTTTAAAATAGGATTTCCCTCCTTAACCTTTTCTTCCTGTCTTATCTTGCTTCCCTTCGTTTTCTGTCCCTCCCTCCTTCCTCTCTACTCGCCAGGTGTCCCTTCCCCTCCGAGCGTCAGGCCCGTCTGGAGGCGGTGCGGGAAGTCTTCCTGGCAGCCTACAGCTCCACTGTTGGCCTCAAGTCCTCAGCACCCAGCCCCTCAGGCGCCATCTCCGGTCTGCTGGAGCAGTTTGCCCGCGGGGTCGGCCTCCGGGGCACCAACGCCATCGTCTGAACCCTCTCAATGTGACTTCAGATCCTCCTTCTGCCTCCATCCATCCATCCACAGTCTATATCCAACATGCCTGGACTCAGTACAATAAAGTGCCAAACATCTCTGTTCAGATCAGGGGTGAAGCATTTTTCCTATTTCCTTTCTTTGATTTTGTTTTCAAACCTTCAGTGCTTGGATTTCATTTTTTTCTGTGCTGCTCCAGCTTTACTCTGGATGTTTAATCTTCCATGTTGAGTTCATCAGTCACATTCAGGGAGGGAAATGGTTTCAGCCACAGTATCAAAAAGGGATATTAAGAAGTCTTTCTAGCTGCTGATATTTACAAGGCTGAGAACATGGGGTCTGTACCTGTTACAGGCAGAATACAAACACTTCTTCCTTCCTCTGCTCCTTCTTAATCTGTTCCTAATTTCTTAAAATCCTAAAGAGTCCTTGCAGTGACCGTCCCATGTACAGGCAGCCATGTTTTTAGTTCTCTTGCTTTGTGCTGCTATTATACTGATCCAAGCAAAGGACTGTTATGTTGTTAAGGTGAAATTTAAAGCTAAGATAAAAAAAAAGCACTTATTGTGTTCTGACAGAAATGGCACCAAGCTTTTTTTTAGCTTCCAATTTGGCACAGTAGATTAAAATCAGAATATATTATCAGTTTCAGAGCTTGCAGCTTTGGGGTCCAGACTTGAAAAATAAGGTTGAATTTCAGAAGTCCATCATAAAGGTCCAGTGTGTAGGATTGACGGGGATATTTTGGCAGAAATGGAATGTAATATTCATAACTTTCAATAATCAGTCAATAATAACCTGAAACTAAGAATTATTGTGTTTTTGTTACCTTAGAATGAGCTGTTTATATCTACATAGGGAGCTGGTCCTCTTGCACGGTGTCCGCCATGTTGTTTCTGTAGTAACCCAGAATGGACAAACCAAACACTGGCTCTATGTGGAGCCATTTGTGTTTTCGAGTTGGCCACTGTAGTTCTCCTGCATGCTTGGCACATGGGAGAAGTTTCAGTTGGTTACAGTCTGCAACCTCACCACTAGATGCCACTAAATCCTGCACACTAGACCTTTAATGCAAAACTCACATGCCGTATGTACACTTACTCAGTTATTGGCTGCTGTTCACATTTGTTCTGTCCAAACTGGCAGTGAAGGGATCCCTTTGTAGTGTGACAACACTGTAGGAGTTAGAGGACAAAATTTACATTCATTTTCAGTCGAAGTGAATATCAGGCCTCAGCAGTTTGAGTAGTTGTGTTTCCATCTAAATTGGGCAAAATGGCCATCACACCACCACAACAGAAGAGTGCTAGTCAAACCTCAACTGAAGGAAACAATAGATGAATGATAACAGAGAATGCACTTGAGATTGGAAATAGAGTTTTGAATAATTAAAATTACAGCTCTGTGCTCTTGGTAGAGTTCTGCTGACAACCCCTTGTACATATACACTGTAAGCATGTTAAAAGCCTGCAGAGATGACGAAGAGAGCTCGCAATGGCCTATGCAATGATGCATCATAACTGTGCATCATCATTTATTCGCTTCATCGGTCCCCATTGCACTTAGTCACATTTACTTTTTATCGATACACTTACGTTTCCACCTCCCCCATGCTACAACCTTTTTTTTTGTACTTCATGTTTATTCAAATTCCTGCTGTCTCCACTTAGGTTGTTTTTATGCACAAATTGAAAATGCGAAATCAGGTGGATGAAAACACACCTAGTGCCAGTGTTTTGTCCTGGTCTTACATCACATCCTGTTACTTGAATAGCAATTTCAGTCTTGGCAAGAGTTCACTATACTTGAAACAAACTAGTCCACACAGCATGTTGTCTGACCATGTTTAAAGGCAGAAGCGTTAATAGCTGTTCTGAAAGGCCACACTTGAAGTGCTGTGCAAAAAAGCCTGCAGTCATAAACGCCTTATACATGGAGATCTTGCTGTAGGGTTGCTACAAAGTCCTTTCTTCGTGCTCCTTTGCATTTTTACACAGAACCAAACAATGATGGCATCATGCCACTCCAGTATGTGTTGATTTTATTTTTTTATTTTTTATTTTTTTAAATGTGCGTGGCAGCAGATCTTGTCTACTGCTTGGACAGTAAGGAGCTTCCGGACCTTATTGTTTTCCCAATTTTCAGCTGCTGTTCTTTTTTGAGTTAGCTGCTAACTGCTATCAACTAAACGCCTCTAAAGGCAAAGGTGTTTATAGCTGTTGAGAACGGCTAAACTTGAAGGCTGGGAGAAGAGCCTGTCTTCATAAAGAGTTCATTGAACTTCAGCGCCAGTATGGACAGAAGGGATGATTACAGCAACTCTCAGCATTGTACAGTATGTGAGGAAGATAGTCTTGTCCAAAAAATCTGGTCTTATCCTTTAACTAGATAGCTTTAAAGTTTTTTCATCTTTACAAATTAAGTGTTGATGATTAAACATCTACAGGGACTCTTCTTGAATTGCCTCACATAGCACAGATTTTGAAGATGGTAACCCTGGAAATGAAGTGACGAAGGTATCCAAGCTATTGTTTCACTTCGCCAGTCTAATCTCTCCATATCCTCTACTTGAGTCCATATCCAGTAATTTTTCCTGTTACTTTTTCTTCTTTTTTTTCTTCTTATTTCGTAGCACTGACATGGTAGCACAAGAGGCACTTAGCATTGTGGTAGCAAATCTGTGAGCCGAAGGCCTTTTCAGTGTTCTTTTTCGTCAAACAGTGATTCCTGCCAGTGCTGAGGTCTCTGCCTAGCTATTATCACACAAAAACTGTTCAAACACGTGCGTCTTTTTTTTTTCAGGTCACACCTGGGCAGACATTTTCTTGAGACAATTCTGTTGAGAGATTTTATTCAATACTAGCTTGTTGGTGTTGCCAAACGATTTTGACGGCTGCTGTACCTCAGGACCTTTTGTTGTGCCTTTTTTTAATCTTGAGTATCAAAAGATCAGATCTCTACTTCTGGTCCAGTTTCAGGTGTATTTCTGTTTCATAAATGGTTATAAGAGCCTGGGCTTTTAGCAGCAGATTGTTGATGAAATTTTGAGTGTAGAGCATTAGCAGCGTTAGCTTTGCAATAAAGCTTTTGGGGTTTCCATTTTTATCACTCGGTTGCAAGATTACAAGTCTTTTTTGTTGTACAGTAATGTATAGCTGTTGAGTCTTATTTACACCCCTGATACTGTTGATGAAATTGGATTTCAGTCAGTCACCCCCAGATGAGTGAGATTTTCAATTCTGCCTTTGAAAAAGACTGTTGGCAAAGAGTATTTTATTGATTTAAGGAATAATTCTAGTCGTAATTTTTGGACATACATTTTTTGACTTTCTCTCTGATAGTGAGATGAGAAAATTGACACCAATATCAAGTGTCTGTGTGAAATACGGACTACAGCTTGGATGCATTAAAAAATATGCATACCAACACCTCAAAGCTTGATACCATGTTTTATCTAGTCTCTAATATTTAGTATTATCAGTTTTAGAGATGTTATGTACTTATTTTTTTGGAATTGACATAGGCTCACATAGTTAAGATTTTTTGAAGTGGGGTTGCATGGGTTGCTTATCCATAGGCATACAGTAGATGGAGGCCAGCACACCTCTAGTTTGGAGAAGCAGACTGGAGTCCAACGTTGTAGCTCAGCAATCTAATGCTGTGGTGGGGTCAGCAACAACATGTATTTTAGCTACCTAAAAAAATACCCACCTAAAAAAGTCAATATTAGTGTATGTGTGCGCTGCATTGAGAGTATTTGCACTACTTTACCTTTCTGTCAGACAGTGATTTCCAACTGCAATGTGCAGCTGTTGTTTCGCTTCCTTCTAAGCCAGACTCCATTGAGAAAATCAGTGATTTAACATTGCTGAACACAGATGCTGCTGGTCTATCTCTGCCTCGAACAGTTATTTTGATTGTGTTATTGTGTGACTTTGGCATTTAAAGGGGTTAGTTCCACCAAAGTCCCACAATAACACTAACTAACTGATTGAAGCAGCATAGACCAGCAGTTCCTGTGTTCGGTGAGCTAAAATTACTGTTTTTCTCAATGGAGTCTGGTGGCTTTGAGGAGAGCATAGATGGATAACTGAAGCTGTTAATGGCTTTCTCTTTAGAATGGGCTGTCTGACAGACAGGTAAAAAGGTGAAAATACTGAATAGAACATGCACTTAAACTGATACTGATTTATTTTTGGGTGGGACTTCTTTAGGTGGCTAAAGTATGTTTTGTTGCTGACCCCTCCACAGCAGTACATTGCTGAGCTTTTTTGTCGGACTCCAGCCTGCTTCTCCTAACTGGGGGCGTGCCGACATCTACTGTATGTGATATACTGTCTAAGGATAAGTACCTCATACGACCCCACTTCACCCCCACACCTTTAATGCACAGGCATAAGTGGTATGGATTTTCACATCTCACTCAGAAAGAACTACTTAAGAACAATTCCCAAAATGTTCAACTGTTCTTTTAACTGGCAGAATTTGGTGTTCTGCTTGATTCTAAGCCAAATTCTGCTTTCTTTGTTCCACTAAAACATGCTAAGCTGCTTTTAAGCCACAGGAGTTTTCATCCCTTTATTCTTGATGCATTAAGAAACTTTTGAGCATTTGGTTCATCTGGCCGCATGTATTGCATGTTCTCTGCATGGGTTGTGAAAGAAGTGGTTTAAATTTGTAACCCTTCACAAACCGATAGCAGAACAATCTGTCCAGCATTATTTGAGACAAGTAAGACTTTCAGGCACAGTCTCATCTCCCTGTGAGTGTTCTTTTTAAGGTATCTTTACTGAAAAGGAGTTCTTATTCAATCCAGGTTTCATATTGTTATTTTGGCATGATTTCTACTGTCTGCCTGTTAAGCAGCCCATTTCAGGACACTTACAAAACATTGTTATTTTCAACTTGCTAAAAAATAGTCATTGTGAGAAAATGTTCTCATCCTGACTTAATTCAAATATTTGTCACTTTTTCACTCACTGGTTTTGCATGACATCCTCCAAGTTGATCTCAGTTGCGGCGTATGATGGTTTTATTTGTTTTACAAGTTAATTTTTATTTCAGAATCTCTCATTAATTAAAATGCTGCATTGCACTTGTTCTGATGTTCTCTGTGTGAAGATGTTTCTTTGTACAGTTGATGTATTTTTAGGTAATTTTACCTTTTGGGTTTTTTTTGTTATGAATTGCTCTTAATTGTTGGCAGGCAGCAGGCTATGATGAAAGGCGAACTGAGCAGCAGGTGGCAATTGTGAATAAACAAAAGAAACAAACATCTTTGTGACTTGATTATTTCTTTCCTGTTCAACTGACTTTAATTCAGCAAAAAATCTCATTAGCTTCTAATTCGTTATCATCCATGGTGATATATATTAACTATTTAAACCACATTATCCACTTCCCCTTAATAGCCTTTCTTAACACTGATAAGACACCTAAGTGCAGTTTGGCAAATGAGAATTCCTTGTCAAATGTAATTTGATTGCATAACGCAGTTATATTACTGGATGTTTCAATTCCCCACTTTGTAGTTCCAATCAAATTCATCTGTCAAGCTAAACAAATTGTCCTTACCGAACAGGACAACAGGAGAAACTGGCCTCATGAAGCAACATTCTCTTGAATTTCTTTTAATTTTGTGTTACCCTGGGGAGCTGGTGGTTTAGTGGTAGAGCAGGTGCCCCATGTACAAGGCTGTTGCCGCAGCGGCCCGGGTTCGACTCCAGCCTGTGGCCCCTTGCTGCATGTCGCTCTCTCTCTCTCTCACCCCCTTTCACGCTTGTCTGTCCTATCGATTAAAGGCTAAAAAGCCCCAAAAAATATCTTTAAAAAAAAAAAATAAAATTTCTGTCAGTCAAGTCAACTCCAGATGCACATGTTCACCATCCAAATCAGCTCTTACCCAGGTGTGATGAATGACGAATCCCACTTGATACATCACAATATCACTGGAGTTTCATACAAAGTGAAGACAGATAACAGATTTTAAAAGAGTATCACTGCCATGTTTTATATTTTGTTTTCTGATTCGAGTTAAAATTCTGAACAAAGGAGCAAGAACGGCTTTCTTCACTCATTAGAAAGATTTTTCTTTTCACCATCTCTTATTTCCCTAATTGACTTGGATACTGGATACAATCAAAGTCAGAGAGTCTGTCTGTCAGCAAGAAACACTGTTTACATCACTGACCGTCATTTCCATTCAGTCACACCTGAGGCTGATCATTCCTGAGAGGCCGGTTGATGAGTTACAGAATTTTAATTTTCCCTGAAACATTTGGCCCTAATAAATTATTTCCAGTGTTCAGAGACACCATGGTCATATTCTGGGTTATTAAATAATGACATAATTCACAATCAGAATATCAATAAATACAGATGCAATTAATGAAAAGGCCTAAATCAAATAAACACCTGTGACTCTGAGCAGGACACTGTATATATTATAAAGGTGATATAAAGGTGCAGGTGATTGTTAGACAGAGATAACACTGCTGCTCTGCTACTGATAACTGTATCTATCTTTATCATTATATATGTATATATAACATTATGTGTGTGCAGCAACAAACTCCATTAAAACTTTCTGTAGCTGTTAATAAAGCCTCCTGACAGCTGATCTAGCTGTAATCAGCTGCCGCCGTCATTTGAAATACATGTCGCTTCACATAATGCTTCAGAGGAAAGGGCCGTCGATATCCACAATTCATTCAGTCTACAAGGGGCCTCAAGCGGACTTTCTATGGACTTCCACAGAGTCCGCTTGGGGTGCAGACTTCACTAGTTTAATTGCCCACAATTCATTACAATACGGATGTGATGTTTTAATTTTTCCAAATTGCTGACAGAAAACACACACACAAAACCCCATAAATTGTAATATTAAAACATTACTTGAATAATGTAGGCCAAATATAAAATTCAACAACATCATGATACAAAAATATGTAGAAGTATAGGCTATAGAGATAATCAGTATGCATTTTAATACTGCAGTCTTGCCTATAAAAGCTGTGCAATCTAATCACATAGGAGAGTGCTTCAGTGATAACCGTATACATGATAGTCTCTCAGATGTTAACACGGAAACGAGTGAAACAGACTCCTCCAAGCCTGTCTATTAGCTCCTTTTATAATGCTGCAGATTCCCACTCTTGCAGACTTTACGTGATGATGGTGAATACATCACATTACGTACGCCTGACGTCCGCAAGGGCTCAGTCTGCAAGTCCAGAGGGTGGAGATTTGGATTCAGCCAAGGACGTCTCATTTCTCAAAAGATGTATCTCCTCGTTTCTTCTCTCCTCACGTCTCATCCTCGCATCTCTCCCCCATGTCTTACAAGGGCGGAACTAAGAAGGGAGGAAGAGACGCAAGTGAGGGAAACATGGATGCGAGATTCGGTATTGGGATGAACCCTATAAGTCACGTATTGGCATTGGTAACACCCCCTAAATACTATATAAGGGCAGGTGTTGTGCCGTGTGCAAAGGCTCTGGCACATGAACCAGAGAAAAAGAATCCTCTTGGGTGTCTTGAACACACTGTAGGCAGTCACCCCATCCTTGGGTTGCAAAGTTTCGTGGCTCCACATCCTCCACGTTGGTGACCAATGTGAGGATGGGCTCAAATGTTTCACTTGTGTCCTTGACAAATAACAGGAATTGCAGCGTTATAATAGTGATTTAGATGTCAAAATATTACACATATACTGCACATCTTTTTCATTTGTTTTATTCTGAAAAATAAAAAACATACTTTTGTCCTCATCTGCTGCACGCCAGTGTGTAGTTCATTTTTACCCATGTCCATACCCGTGAATTTATATACCGGTATATATATATATCAAAAATAGAAAAATGCCCGTGCACAGCTGAAGTCAAGGTGCTGGTACTGCGGCAGAAGTACAAACGTGTAAAGAAAAAAACCACATACATTTTTTTTTTCTTTACATGTTGATATATATATATATATATATATATATATGTGTGTGTGTGTGTGTGTGCGTGTGTACACATATCTTCACCTGTTACACAGCTTCTCCTGCACTGGGTTGGGTACCCGTGGGTATCCCATCCAGTGCAAAAGTGTGCTCTGCGGTATTGAGTTCCTGGCCAAATATCCATCCAGCCAACACAGTGCTGGTTCCCAAACCTAAGTAGGCTACTTACAACAGCATGAAAGACAATAACAACAACACTACAGTTTTAAAGGAGATCTCGCCAGCTTTATACAAGTTTACGTTGGTCACTGATCAATGCGGGCATCTAAGAGGAAGTGACAATGGTGGTTCATGGGAATCCAAAACGTTATTGTGAGGGAATGCAAAAGTCAGTCCAAAAAAAATCTCCCGACTTGACCTTTAAGGGGCTCCGTAAAATGTCTCCCACTTTGTTCCTGTGAGTTATGGCTATGAATTAAGCCAAGAAAAGTCTTGCAGAGAATTATGATGTCACATTGAAGTTGATCTTTGGCACTTTGGATATAAAATGTCATCACTTCATCATTTTATCTTATTAGATATTTGTGTGAAATGTTAACATATGAGTTCTTGAGTTGCAGCCAAAAACATGTTTTATGAGGTCACAGTGACCTTGACCTTTGACCCTCCACCACCAAATTCAATTAATTCATATCCAAGTGACTGTTCTTAGATTTTATGAATATCTGAATAAATAAATGTATGTTTAGCCATCGAAGGTAAACACCCGCATAGCTTGGAACCTGACCTTTAAAAAAAGGTGTTTTGAACATTTTAAAATCCAAAATGGCCACCATAGAGAGTTTGAAAAAAATGGAAACATTATTTTTCATATTTCCCATGTTCTAACGATTTAAAAAGTGCATAGTTTATCAACTCCCCAAGAATTGTTCATGAAAATGCATCAGGAACTGGACTAATCATCACACAATAATAACATGAAAGGTATGAAAAACATGTTGTCTCAAACCAAATTCTACATTCTTTAAAATTATTGTGATATTTGTGAACTGCAGTAACCAGGTTGAAACCCCAACCCCCACCACCGCGGCACTGATCACCCCCCGTACTCGGACCGCAAGTTGTGACCAGAGACAGCAGAGAAACTTGTGGAGGTCTCTGCCTCCACCTGGCGATGGATGGAGAGAAATAAGGAGGAGAGGGATCTTCTACATCCGCTTCTCTCTCTCTCTCTCTCTCTCTCTCTCTCTCTCTCTCTCTCTCTCACTCTCTCTCACCATGAATGAAAGCCTCATCCTCAGGTATGCCTCTTAACCCTTAACTGTGCTCCAGCGACCGTCAGCAGCAACAACTACTACAACCGGAGCCGGCCGCCTCACTCTCCCTGTCTCACTCTCGGGTGGATGGAACAAAACACATTTCAGCCACAGGAAAACTAGTGCTGTAATACAAGTGACAACTTAACCGATTCGGAAGAAGTGATTTAAAACAAAGCTGGGCCATGGCGACAATAGGAGATTTCGACCCACTCAACTCCACCGTACCTGCGACAAAGATTGAAATCACCGTGTCCTGCAGGTAAGCACCGCCAACATGTTTCCACAGCAGGCTACTCACCTGTCAAAAGCGTTCATCTTTTCACAGTCACATATTGACACATTTTGGATGATTAAAGTCAGTTTTGTCGTCATGAATTTTTGAAGGCATTGTGATATTCTTATGCGTAGTTTCGTGTGTCTGGTCATCTTAGACTTTTCCTCGGGCTTTTCATCAGTATAGTGTGTCTTTAACGTACACGGAGCAACTCTTTTTTTTTCCTAAGAAGGAATTTGCATGTGCTGTGGGTGTAGAAGTGCGTGGGGGGTGCAGTAACCAACAGTACCAGGATTTATTCTGAGTGCCTTGGAGAGCTTCGGAGAGCGCAACTCTGAGATCACATGAGTGCGTGGATATTAAATGTGCCAACTGACAATGAAGAGAAGACACAGAGAGGGAGCTGTGATTGTGGTTTGAACAATGGTTATTTTTATAAAGCCTGAAGAGAAGAGAAAAGAATGGATAGTAATAATTTAACATTATTATAACTCATTTCATAAGCAGGATCTAATATTAGCATGGAAAGTGTATGTCAGCAGCACTGTTAGCACTCAAACAAAAAAGTACCAACAATAGGTTTTTAACCCTTTAACGCACTGCTCAGCTGTTTGGTAGAGCACATTTTGAGTCACTGTATCTTACTGAAAAATGTGTTGAATTAATTCAACCTGATTGAGATGTCTCTATCATTGGGCTAGGTATGTTATGCTAAAAAAAATCCACTAGATGTCGCTCTGTCTTTAAATAGTCTGCTTTTTCAGTAAGCCCCCTGTTAGTATGTATTTTTACATATTCACTGACCAATGGATACTTGGATACCCTGAGGATCATGTTCTGCCAGGACAAGTGAGACTAATTTTAGTTGGCTGAAGGCCAAGTTAAATTTGGCACAGTGCCATGTAGGTAACAGCACACGTGATACCATCTTAAGAATATAAGCTGTGTCCCCCCCCATTGTGTATGTACCAGTCACTTAGCTTCGCGTGTGGCAAATGTTGATCCGAGCTCGTAATAAACGTGCATTAAGAAAGAACTCCGTGATCGGCCTCAACCTTTTCATTCTTCAGATCATCACAGAAACACCTACTCCCCCCCCCCCCCCCCCCCCCCCCCCCCCNCCCCCCCCCCCCCCCCCCCCCCCCCCACGCCTAGTAAAAAAGCTATTCAAGAGATGATGAGCAGGCATAGCTGTAGCTGAAGTAGCCACATGTCCCACCCGCTAGCTAAATGACTCGCCCACCATACCTTCATGTCAGTTCATGATCTGCCCCCTTTGCTACTTTGCCCAGAAGCAGAAGTCATGATGAAATTGCTAAGTTAAACGATTCACTAGCTATAGAGTATTTGGTTAACAGAGAAGTTGTTAAGGTTAGGGTAAGGGTAAGGGTAATGGGAAGGCTACATCTTATACTTATGCTAATGATAACATAGCAATTAGCTAATGTTAGCAATGAAGTAGGCTACTACAATGGACCTTTTTCACAACAGACATTTTGACTTGTCACAACAGGAAAACCACAGGTGAAACTGATAACATTAATGACGGCTCAGTTCCATTAAGAATGCCAGCAAGGTATTCCAGTAAGCCAGCATGCACAATACCAGCACCTCTCCTGAATGGCATGCTGCTATCATTAATGCCATTAAATAGCTACACCTGTGCTTTTCCTACTATGACACGTCAAAATGTCTGCCGTAAAAAAGGTCTATAAAAGAGAGGTGGTTAAGGTTGAGATAAGGGTAATGGGAAGGCTACATCTTGTGACTTGTGCTAATGCTAACTAAGCAATTAGCTAGGTATGAAGTATTACATTAAAACAGAGGTGGTTAAGGTTAGAGTAAAGGTAATGAGAAGGGCTACATCTCGTGACTTATAAAGTGAGTCACGAGTCAGTCTTTTATGTATTTTGAATTGTAAAGGGGATTATATTGGTCTCATTATTCACTACAGTATAGCATTGTAGCAGGGCTCAGACAGCCTTTGAGGTGGTGAGTTTGTCTTTTACTAGTGGTGGGCATGGTTTGTAGGGGTGTGTCAGGGCTGTGGCCCAGAGGTGGAGCAGGTGGTCCACTAATCAAAAGATCTGTGGTTCAGTCCTCCACTCTGCACGTACAAGTGTCTGTGGGCAAGATACTGAACCCTTAGTTTCATCAGTGTGTGAGTGTGTGTGAATTGTTACTGAGTAGCAGGTGGCATCATGTATGGTAGTCTTGACCCCCGGTATGTGACTGTGTGTGTGACTGGGTGAATGTGACATGTAGTGTGAAAGCGCTTTGAGTGGAAGACTAGAAAAGCGATACACAAGTGCAGTCCTTTTACCATGCAGTCCATTTACAAATGGAATATGCAGCTATACATCTCAGACATGAGGGCTCTGTGTAGTGGGACTTTCAAATGTAGGCATATTTTTTTTGACATGTTACAGTTTCAGAGGTCCTTCTGACCAGATTTATGTAACTTAATAAAACAAATAAAGGTCTAATGAGAGTTAAATAATTCCTCAAAAACATGCTCTACCAAACACTTCCTTTGTCCTTTTATGGTTTAGGTAGTAAGGCTAAGCTGATGTCATCAAAGTGGCTATTTGTTACAAAATAAAAAGACTTCTGATCATTCATTGTTGTTAAATGATACATTTAATGTTATCCAATATATTTGCTGATATAATTTAGTAAGTATGATTTTTTTTTTCAAACCAAACAGTTGATTTGTCCTTTTATGGTAAATGTAGTAATGCTAAGATAATATAAACTTTACTTTCTTTTTTATCAAATACGAAAAGGATGAATATTCACTTGTTAATACCATATATTCAATGTTATTCCATTATATTCATTTCTAGAAGAAATCTGTGGAAATAATACTAGTACTGGTAATACTACTAATTCTGTGGTAACAAATTGATGAATGTTTATGTACTAACATATTTCAGGCATCACAACAGTACATGGTTTTTATTTCTGTTTTTTTTTTTTTGTCTGTTTTACTTCTACTATGATGTGACTTCTCAACCATTTGGTAGAGGCTGATATTTAAAAAATGATGGGGTCTGCTAAAACAGAATGTTGATTTTTGTTATTATTGCAACAAGTAAATAGAAAAATGCAAGAACAATTTTTCCATTACTGTTTTCAGTGTTGACATTAAAGGGTTAAAATGGTTAGGCTTTCTTAAAACAAAACAAAAAACCCCCCAACATATGTCATTATAGAACTATCTATTTTTATAGTAAATCTATAAAACAGGAGACATATATATATATATATATATATATATATATATATATATATATATATATGTATACACACACACATCTATCTATCTATCTATCTATACATACATATAACACTTAATAAAATTAATTGCAATGTTTCCTCCCTGAAACACTTGAATATAATTTGTACAGAGTATTGCAGGGCAGTCCAAAGCTTTCTTTGGGCTTCCAAGCAGCATGTGATGATCTCACACTGCACTGCAATTACAAACCAGCACACAGTGCCATTAAAGACATTTATGCCAGATAACCAGTTTAATGATTTAATCCTAAATACCAATTAAAACCCTCGTAATATGCAGATATGCAGAGGTACAGTTAACTACAACGAATGAAGGAAAATTAGTTTATTTACATTTAAAATATTTATAAGAAGTATGAGTCCAAGTCCAAGAGGTAGTTAATGGAATACTTCACCTGCAAAATAACCATTTGAATATCAGTTACTCACCCTGTATTACCTTGAATTTGTGAAGAAAATGGAGAGTCCAAAAGAGACAAACATTTTTTATGAATTTGAAACAACTGAGGGCCATCTCAAACAACACAAAACTATATCAAACATTTATTTACAAACTCTCACACAACTCATGCAGTATAACCCATGTATAATTTATCCAGTCTTATACTTACTAACGAAATGGTAAATGGTCTTGCACTTGTATAGCACTTTACTAGTCTTCCAAACACTCAAAGCACTTTATGCACTACAGATTTTCATTCACCCATTCACACACATTCACACACCAGTGGCTGAGGCTACCATACAAGGTGCCACCTGCTACTCAGTTTAAAGGAGAACTTCAGTCATTTTCAGAATTCATACATATTATTCCTTTTGTCTGAGACAGTCCAAAAATATCAGTCACATGAACAACTCTCTTCCGAGTCCAGAAACTAGAGAGCTAAAACTCAAATTTGTGATGTCATCAGGTATACAGTCTGGAGCTGCTCCATAGACAATTAATGGTGAAAGATGGTCTACATGACTCTAAAAGCACTCAGGGAGTATTTGGGGACATTTTCTGTTACAGGACTGAGAACACTACAATAGAATAATGCTCATTTAGGTATATAAAAGCAAACAAATATTATGTGGATCCAAAAATCATTCATAGAAGCATCTCCAGACTTTGTACTTGATGACATCACAAGTTTGAGATTTATGTCACTGGTACCTAGCTTTGAGAGAGAGTAGTTCATGCTCACAGATACTGATTGAACTTTCCATGGAATTCTTAATTTAGGTGGCGATCACCTTTAAACATTCACACACACTTGCACATTAATGGCACAGCCATCGGGAGCATTTTCACTAAAACATTATAATTTAAAACACGTCAGTACAAACAGTGTCATGCGTGGCTGAGCATGCTCCTCAGCCGGAGCTCATACGCATTTTTTCTCAGGTAGCCCCAGGTCATGCTATTTGTGGACAGAAGTATTTTATGTTGCAAAGTTTCAGCAAAAATCAAGCAGCAGCCATACGGGCTGAAAAATGAAGCCAATGTGGAAGTATCAAAAACTGCAGTTCCTCTAATGACCACTGGAGGCTGGCTCCAGAAGCCAGTCATTCCCCACTCTCCCCATGATAAAATAACTTTACAGCAGAAATAAACATGTTAATAGCCTTGTTCAAAAAGTGTTTTAAGACTCTATAGCAAATTTCAACAGTCATGACAACTATACAAGGGGTGTCATTTTTTT